TATATATATATATATATATATATATATATATATATATATATATATATATATATATATCGTAATTTACAAAAATATAGATACACACACACTCATATATAATCTAAAAATATTAATAAAAAAATGCTTATAGACAATGTATATACAATGAGACATAATTAATATTACCTATACAAACTTTGAAATATTTCTTCTTGGATATCAAATGGATTTTGTGTGTCACATAACATCCTTCGCATTATTCTGAGATTATTTCTCTCGTCTTGATCATTTATTTCGTTAACAAAAACCAAGAATGCAGCTGCCATGTTGAACAAAATTTTTGCGTAAAAAAATTTCAATTTTCACAAATTTACGTTAAATCTTTCATTTTTCACGAGTTTAGTGAAAGTTTTCATCTTTTACGAGTTTATTACAAAATTTTCACTTTTCATGAGTTCACACTAGGGGAAAAGATTCATGATACCTAGAATAATAAAATATTTCAGTTATACCAAGCAGAAAATGATTATAGACTTGTTGGGGCTAGTGGTGATCCCGCAAGCCATAGCACAAGTATTGTATGATGTATTCAAGCTGCACATGCAAAAAGTTGGCCTGAACTTAAAACATTTGCTTGCTCTGGGAACTAACGGTGCCCTAAATTTGTGCGGCTCTGCCAATTCATTATATGCGCTGTTAAAACGACATGACTGTCCCAACCTGCATTTGATTAAATGCATATGCCACAGCCTTGATAAGTGTGCCAGTAAAGCAAGTCAATCTTTTCCAGAAAGAACCTTTTCTAGAATTTTTGCTAAGAGAGTCACGAAATTGGTTTTGGCATAGCGCATTGCGCAAAATGCAGTATCAGGAATTATACAAGGTGAGATTTTTAAATCTTTTCTTGAAAACTGAAAATTTAATGTGATTAATATTCAATTGATAGTCTCTTACTGACGGACAAAAGCCTCCTCAACTGGTGAAATTAGCCATTACTCGCTGGTTATCTTGATATGGAGCTGTGAAGTCTCACTCTGAACAATATATGCAACTTAAAATCCTTTTCAAAAATGTAGCGAACGCAGACTCAAGGAGCAATGTCTCATGGCTCATCACTTGGCAGTTTTACATGAAGATATGTCAAATCTTCTATTTTTGAGACCAATTTTACGCGAGGTCACGTCTATAAACGTGATTTTTCAAAGTTCAGTGGCTGACATCTCTAAAGTCTATAAAGACCTTAAGATTTTTATTTTCAGTCTAGCGAACCGCATACTCAAGCCTGAGGCCCTCAAACAATCTCAACCAGGGATGCTTCGTGTAATTGAAATTCAAGCTCTGAAGGTTACAATGCTACGGCGAGAAAACTTCAAGCCTGTTGAGTTGGTAAACTATGAGGAAAATTTCTGGAAAGTCGCTTATAATATAAAGCTGCCTGATGACAAACTACGCCAAGTTCAGAATTGTTGTACTAATTTTTAGTGAAGTTTACTCAGGAGTTGATCGACAGGTTGCCTTCTTGCATCGAGATTGTAGAAAAATTAAGGATTTTTTCAACATCGCGCTGGGAGCGAGGGAAAAATATTATCAGGGTTGGGAACGTTACTTTTTAAAAGTAACGCGTTACCGTT